ACTCACACATTGTTCATTTCACTGGAATTTCTTTCTACATCTGCATCCAAGACAGAAAGTGGTGCAAAAATATACAAATAATATCAACAAATGTTGGCTTCAAAATCAGCATGAGGTATTCTTAATAAATATGGGTCACAGCTTAGGTATCCCTGCCTTTCTAAGCAGATTACAAAAGAAATAACTTTTCTAGACAAGAATAATGGAACCATACTTATAAAACTTTTTCCAAATCAATAAATTATGATATATCATTTTATCTTTTTTTCCAACAGGAACTAACATTTCCTTTTTCTTGAGTTAGAGTCTCACTCTACCGCCTAGGCTGGAGTGCAGTGGCACACTTGTGGCCACCGAAGCCTTGACCTGCTGGGTTCAGGCGATCCTTCTACTTCAGCCTTCCAAGTAGCTGGAACTACAGGCATGTGCCACCATGCCCAGCTAATTTGGGGGCTAATTTGGGGGGGATTTATTGTAGCGACAAGATCTTGCCACGTTGGCCAGGCTGGTCTCAAACCTGTGGGCTCAGGCAATCCTCTAACCTTGGCCTCCCAAAGTGCTGGGATTACAGGCTTGCACCACGGTGCCCAGTTAAAAGCTAACATTTCTGCTGATAGGTTTATGGCTCAGTGCTGGCCTCTGGCAAAAAAACCTTTTGGTCTTTAGACAGGAGTGTCTTTAACCCGGAGGGTAACCTTGAACAAGTTTCTTGGGCATGAACTTCCTCCTAGAGAACAGGAGCGAGACTCCCAGGTTTCTCAGACTAAATGCTATTGTTACTACTAACAAATGCTCCTCTAGCACTTTCTGTGGGCAGGGTGCTACCCTATGGGCATTCCTGTTCTCCCCCTCTCACAGATGTAATAAGTGAGGCAAGATTAAGTGACACACCCATGTACATATACTGCCTCTCCAAGGCCTTTTTTTTTTTTAAGAGACAGGATCTCGCTCTGTGGTCCAGGCTGGAGTGCAGTCATAGTTCACTGCAGCCTAGAACTCCTGGACCCAAGTGAATCTCCCATCTCAGCCTCCCAAATAGCTGGGACTGCGGGCACATGCCACCACATTCAGTTAACTCTTAAATTTTTTGTAGAGATGGAGTCATGTTTTATTGCCCAGGTTGGTCTTGAACTCCTGTCCTCCCACAGTCCTCCCACCTTGGCTTGGCTTCCCAAAGGGATGGTATTACAGGCATGAGTCACTCTCCAATGTCCCAGGTTGGAGTTAGCAGGTCAGGATGGGGCCCTGGAATCCACAAACCCCACAAACTCCCACCACTGTGAGCACTGCAATGCCACCAAGAGCAGCTTCTACTGCTAGAGGCGGCAGTCCCAGGAGCACCAGCAGAAGGTGGCTGTGTGCTTCTCGGCCAAGCTCTTCCTGCGGGACAGTTTCCACCACGGAGACCTCATGCCCCTGCTGCATCTCCTCCAGCGCTTCCCTGAGACAGATCCAGGTGGGTTTGCGCCCACTGTGAGACATTGCTCCAGGCACCAGAGGATCTGCTCAAGTTCCAGAATGCTGGGACAAGAGCAAACAAGGGAATTCAGAGCCCCAGTCAGGGAGGTTTCACCAGGAGGTTCTCAAAAGGGAGGCTGGTACCACCCTCTGATGGCCACAGCAGAGAGCAGGGTGGAACCAGATAGGGATGTGCCCGAGGGAACCCAAATGCTGGTCTCTTGCTGCACCAGATCACCATCTGCTGGTCGTCTATGGCTATTGCAGACCAGGTAAGACCATCCCAGGTCCTTCACCAAATGTTAGTGGCTACCTTGCTAGGGCTTCAGAAATCCTAAGGCTCATTCCAGAGCATGGAAGACGCCACATGTTGAACACTGTAGGAGGGGACAGCAGGGAGGAGAAAAGGCCAGTCTGGATGAGAATAGTATGAGGAGTCGGTGGAGAATCAGCTGGAGTGGCAGGGGCCAGACTCAGGTGGGTTGTTTTGCTGAGGCAAAAGAAGTCTATCAGTGAATCAGACTTAGATTTTCATGGGATCGTTCTGGCTTTGTCAGGAGGATGAAACAGGATAGTTTGAGTGGCAGCAGAGTCAAGCTGAAACTGCTCCAATACAAAGGTGAAAGAGTAGTAACTGGCCTAGATTAAGGAGTGGCTATGGTGATAAAAGAAAAAAACAGCCCACAGAATATGTAGGAAGTAGCCAGGTGCAGTGGCTCATGCCTATAATTCCAGCACTTTGGGAGGCGGAGGCGAGAGGATTGCCTGAGTCCTGGGATTTGAGACCAGCCTGGGCAACTTGGCAAGACTTCATCTCTACAACTCAGAAAATTAGCCGGGCGTGGTTGCGCATGCCTGTAGTTCCAGCTACTTGGAAGGCTGAGGTAGGATTCACCTGAGCCCAGCAGGTTGAGGTTGCAGTAGTCGAAAGCATGCCACTGCACTCCAGTCTGGGCAACAGAGTGAGACCCCTACTCAAAAAACAAGCAAAAAAAAATTGGAAGGAGGATTGATTAGGTGTGGTAAAACCAAGTCCCACAGAATGACAGCAGGAAAGCAATAGCTGCCCTTCCTTCATCACATCTTAGCACCTACTATACACTAGGACTTATCTACCTGATGGGAACAGTGGTGCCAGCAAGTCGTGTTCTGCTGGGCGGGGCGGGGGGTGGGGCACAGCAAGTAAACAAGCAAATAAACAAGAAATAAGAGTTAAAAGTTAGCTGGGCTCGGTGGCTCAGCCTGTAATCCCACGCCTTTGGGAGGCTGAGGTGAGTGGACTGCCTTGAGCCTGCGGGTTTGAGACCTGCCTGGGCAACTTGGCAACTCATCTCTACAATAAATCAAAAAAATCAGCCGGTCGTGGTAGCGTATGCCTGTGATTCTGGCTACTCGGAAGGCTGAGGCAGAAGGATCACCAGAGCCCAGCAGGTCGAGGCTGCGGTGGCCAGGAGCGGCCACTGCACTCCAGTCTGGGTGACATAGTGAGACTCCAACTCAAAAAAAAAGTTAAAAGTTAAGAATGATGCGATGGTTACCTCAGAGATCTAAATGGTGAGAAGCCTGCCATGTGAAGGTGACAGAGAAAGGCATTCTAGACCAAAGAAGCAAAAGCAGAGGCAGAGCAGAACACATGCAGCATGTTCAAGGTCAGAGGCGGCTGGCAGGGGTGGAGTGTGGTGAGTTAGGGCAAGCATGGGCTCTCCATGGCAACACAAGGAATTCTAAGAGTGAAGGGATGCCACCAACACATTTTAAGCGAGAAAGTGACAAAACCAGATTTTGTAAAGCTCTCTGTTGTTCTCTGGATAATGGGTGTGGCGGGGGGGGGGGGGGGGGGGGGGGG